TACACCCCATTTTAATGTGAAAGTCAGGGTTTAAGTTTTTCTTTCTGACCATTTCTCTCTGGCAAATTAGGTAGCTCATTTCCAGATTTTATCTTTTTCCATGCCTGATATTTACCACCTCCCTTGGCACCCCAAATCAAGCACCCACATGGTAATGAACATCCTAGAAGTGAGACAGAGTGGGTGCCTGTACATGACTGCACATGAAAAGGTAATTTTTAAAGCATATTTTATTGATTATGCTATTACAGTTGTCCCATTTTTTTCTCTCCCCTTTACCCCTCTCTGCTTGGTACCCACATTCCCCACCCCTCACTTAGTTCATGTCCATGGGTCATACATATAAATTCTTTGGCTTCTACATTTCCTATGCTATTCATAAAATGCACTCTGTCTGCTTTGTACGTACCATTTATGCTACTTATTCCCTGTATCTTTTCCCCCATTCTCTCCTCTCCCCCTCCTCACTGATAACCCTCCATGTGATCTCTTATTTCTGTGAAACTGTTCCTCCTTTAGTTGTTTGTTTTTGTTTTTAGGTTCAGGTGTTGATAGTTGTCACTTTGTTGTCATTTTACTGTTCATATTATTGATCTTCTGTTTCTTAGATAAGTGCCTTGAACATTTCATGCAATAAGGGCTTGGTGATCATAAATTCCTTTAATTTGACCTTATCTGGGAGGCACTTATCTGCCCTTCCATTCTAAATGATAGCATTGCTGCATAGAGTAATCTTGGATGTAGGTCCTTGCATTTCATGACTTGGAATACTTCTTTCCAGCCCCTTCTGGCCTGCAAGTTTTATTTGGAGAAATAAGCTGATAGTCTTATAGGAACTCCTTTGTGGGTAACTATCTCCTTTCCTCTCACTGGTTTTAAGATTCTCTCCTTATCTTTAATCTTGGGTAATGTTATTTATTATGATGTGGCTTGGTGTGTGCTTCCTTGGGTCCAACTTCTTTGGGACTCTCTGAGCTTCCTGGACTTCCTGGAATTCTATTTACTTTGCCAGGTTGGGAAAGTTTTTTTCAATATTTTTCCAAATAAGTTTTCAATTTCTTGCTTTTCTTCTCCTTCTGGAACCCTTCTGATTCAGATGTTGGAATGTTTAAAGTTGTCCCAGAGGTTCCCAAGCCTCTCCTCATTTTTAAAAAATTCTTGTTTATTCATTCCATTTTGATTGAATGTTTATTTTTTCCTTTTGTTCCAAATTATTGATTTGAGTCCCAGTTTCCTTCCTTTCACTCTTGGTTTCCTCTCTATATTTTTCCACTTTGTACAGGCTTTACTTCTTTCTTTAGTTTGTAACCATGCTCAGTCATTTTTATATGCATCCTGATTACCAGAGTTTTGAATTCTCCATATAATAGGTTAGCTATCTCCTCGTAGCTTTGGTCTTTTTCTGGAGGATTTTTAAAAAATATTTTATATATTTATTGTTAAAGAGAGGGAGAACGAGAGGAAGAGACACATCAATATGTGGTTGCCTCTCACATGTGCCCTACCTGGGACCTGGCCTGCAACCCAAGAATGTGCCCTCACTGGGAATCCAACCAGTGATGCTTTGGTTCTCAGGCCAGTGCTCAATCCACTGAGCCACACTGGTCAGGTGTTTTCTGGAGTTTTGATTTGTTCTTTCATTTGGACCATATTTCAATGCCTTGGCACACCAGTTTTGATGAATGTTTCTTTTTTGACTCCTTGGTTGTTGGACTTCTATACAGTTTGATTTTTCTGGCAGTTCTCATTGTTTTTTTTTTTAATTAGTTGCTTTCTTCTTTTGGCTGTACAAAGAGGTGAAGCGTATATACCTACACCTCCATCTTGAGCAGAACTCCCCAGAAAAGTAATTTGTAAACAATGTTTTAACTCTGAGACAAGCTTATTAGCCTCAAATAGAAGAATTTTGTTTGAGGAATTTTTAAAATCCCCCCTTTAAATGCAGAAATGATTTGAAGAAGTGCTCATCTCTCTACCTCCATTTCCATAGTAAGTATTCCACAGAAAAAGGAACCTGGGAAGAACAGGAAGATCTCACTGAATACTTAAACAGTACCTTCAAGGTTGGGGAGTAGCATTAGCAAGAAGAAAGGCAGATGAAATGAAGGCACTGAGTCGCTGATTTTTGCCTCTCTCCTTGGGGAGAAGATTGCTGATTTGGAGTCACTCTGGCCTGCCTAAGACCAACTGACATGAAGATATAAATCCAAGGTAAGATTTCTTGGGCCAGCAGGTTTATCCCAGTGCTATTATCTAAATAGGTTATGTAGGCTTACTTTAGAACAGCTTCCTCTCGTGCTTCCTCCCACAAGCAGAGAGGGTTCTTCCTGAAAGCTGCTTGTGCCAAATGTACCATAATAGCAAGGCCTCAAAATAACTGTAAATCTATGTCCCCAGTAGATGGACATTTAGGGTTTGTTTTTTTTTAAGAAATCCCTGATGGTACTTCAGACTTCAGTAAAGAAGCTTTAGGGAGGCAAGAAATGTGGCCTGCAGCATTAAAAGATCAAAGATCTAACCTTAATGTAATAACAAGTTGTGTAAAATAATAGGTAAAAAGTTACTGAGTGCTGAATATGTGCCATGAAGGGAGCTAAGTGACTTACATGCATTACCTCATTGAGTCCTCATTAAAGGTCACTGTGGTTTGGAAGGTGAAAGAGACTGGGAATTCAGAGTCCAAGGCCACAGAGCTGGTAAGTGGTAGAGGTAGGATTGAAACCCAGTTCTGTGGGATACCAGGACCCAAGCTCTGCCCTGCTAATTTATATTCAAATACTTTAATCCCATTTTAAAAGATGTTTAAGGATCATGAAATCTCCTGGTTATGTGCAATAAAGCAAAATTCTTAGGAAACTTTATATGATATTCAGATGGCCTTCTAGAGTTCAGACACATTTTTTTAAAGATCTTCCCTATAATTCAGATATCCAGTTTTTTCACATGCACATGCAAGGAGATACCACACACATACACCAGACAATGAACACCACCTGTACATATACAACCCAGGTGAATACACACAGAACACAGACACCACACAAAGGCCATACACAAATAAACGCACACAAACACACCACAGATCTCACATACACACAGCTCTATACATGCCCCGTGGATCCAAAACCCATCACAGAGACACACCACAGAAATACACACAAAGAGCATATAGCCATATACAATACATACACACAAATACACTGCAGGTATACAGACAGACACACATGCCATACACACACAGTATCAGAAACTCTCCATAAGATTTTTTTCTCCTTATCTATTATATCCTAGTTTCTATCCAGTTCCCAGCATACTCATCATCTTCATTCATGCCTTGTTTCTCGCTGCTGGTCTCTTCTCTATCCCACCCCATCCCAGATAGGAAACGCCTCTCTTTTCCTCCCATTCCCCAGAGCACCACCAACATTAAGACAGTTGCAATCAATGAGAAGGGACATTACACCATGTCAAAGCATAGCAAATGGGTTAAAATTGAGGATTAGACACTCCTCATTTTAGATTCCCTGTATAATTTCTGCACTTCTGAATACTTCATTGACCCTTTGTGCTCTTCAAGCCTCCCAAAGACATCCTCACTCCTCCTCTCTCTTCTCATGGTCCCAGGACCTTCACAACACTTTTCTCAGGTTCCCACTCATTCACTCGCTCACTACTGCCTGTCCTTTCCACACCCTCGGTCCATTCACTTTTTACTCCCAAAGCAGGCTATTTAGGTATTTGCCTGAAGAGAAGTATTTTTTTCTACTTTGGAGAAAAACATTGCAACTCCCTTAAAAGGCAGAATTAACTAAAAGCAGTTGTGGTTTTAATAACAACTTTATTCCTTCTATCTATAAAGTCTTAGAGTGTTTTTGCTTTGTGAATAAAAGCATCACTAGTAATACCCATTGATTTATCCAATTTATCAAAAACCAAGTTGTTGATATGACTGTTATAACAGGTATTTTCCAAAACAGTCTCAGGTTTATATTTTCAATACCATAGGAACCACTATTCAGAAATGGGATATTTTGAATAATCACATATTCTGATTAATGGAGCATTATCAAAACACTAGGCATGGAATACCAGTTTACAAAGTGGAAACATAAAACCCTGGTAGGGTGCCCACAATGGAGGCGTAGTGGGAGTTGATGATTAATAAGAAATTTAACCCTTTAAAACCTTACTCTCTCATCTGTTTGAATACATGCCTTAGTGAGGAAAGAGAGAAATGATTTTCATATACTCCTCCTGGCATATAACAAATATCGAATAAATATCAGTTTCTTAATTTCTCTCCCTCTCTCACCTCTCCAAGTAAGGGAGAACCACTAGTATATTCTACAGTCCACTTTCCTCCTTCACTGATGATTCTGAAGACACTTCACAGTCTTACAGTGCCCTAGGGCTCCCATATGAATATCAGTTCTTACTGCTATGTGCTCAGTGCTAGAATACTAGATAATAGCATTCATTATATATATAATTAGCTCTTGGGAGAAATCTCATTGTAGCTCCCCTTGATTAATAATTTGCAGCAGTCATTATTTTTTTTTAGTCATTATTATTTTTGTTATTCAATTTTGTTAGCAACATTGGCCATGATCAAGTCTTAGTCAAGTAAAACTGATTCTATATTGCCTTTTTCAAGAAGCTGTGCCCATCAAGAAGGGTCAGACTTCTGGTTAATGTCTAAATAGAAGACTTTTGGCTACCTAAATCAATGACTTAACAAAGTCAAAATATCCATTTCACATTAATTTCATATTATTTGTAGTATTTCTATTTTTGATGCTCAAATTAATCTGATCTTTATTCTTCATATAAAACAAAGACCTTGGGGAAAATATCTGACTTATGTTATTGTGGAAACATAACATATGTTTGTCATTTAAAAAATATTTTCATTTTGTCTATTGCTTTTTAATTTCTCTGTTTAACCTTTTCATTTTCTTCTTTTATGTTCTTACTTTCAGTTCCTCGTCCTGCTGGTAATTATGGACACGATCAACTCTTCTGATTACCAGGTCAATGTCTCTATATTAGTAAGAAACAGCACTCACTTACCAGCTCTTGCCCCCAAAATGATCATTGTCATTCTTTTGTTCACATCATCCATAATTGGTATTATTACCAATGGTCTCTATCTATGGATACTAAAATTCAAGATGAAAAAGACTGTCAGTACTCTTTTCTATTTTCATTTCATTCTCTCACATTTTATCGCAACTTTGATTGTGCCGCTGATAACCATCCCCTTCCTTCAGAACAATCACTGGAGCTTTGGAACTGCCATGTGCAAGGTCTTCAACAGCACTTTGCATACAGGATTATCCGCCTCTGTTTTCTTCCTCTCGGCCATCAGTGTTGATCGTTACATTCTCACTTTTCACCCGGTATGGTCACAGCTGCACCGAACCCCACGCTGGGCTTCCGGCATCATTCTGGGAGTCTGGATCTCTGCGGCTGCCCTCAGCATGCCCCATTTGGTTTTCAAGGAGACACATGATGACTACCAAGGAAGGGTGACCTGCCAAGATAACTATGCCTTATCTACTGACTGGGAAAGCAAAAAGATGCAAACATTAAGGAAATGGATTCATGTAGCCTGTTTCACCAGCAAGTTTTTGTTCAGTTTCCTTCTGCCTTTCTTCATCATCACCTTCTGTTATGTAAAAGTAGCCAACAAGATGAAGAAGAGGAACCTATTTAAATCCAACAAGCCCTTCAAAGTCATTAAGACTGCCATTATCTCTTTCTTTGTGTGTTGGGTACCCTACCATGTATACCGGGGCTTACTTCTCTCTGACAACAAATCTTTACTTTTACAGTTGACTATGGTAGTTGCAGTGATGACCACTTCTTTTAATATTGTCTTTTCTCCCACACTTTACCTATTTGTTGGAGAGAATTTCAAAAAAGTTATTAAAAAGTCGATTCTTGCTCTGTTTGAGTCAACATTCAGTGAAGATTTTTCTCTAGAAAGGACACAAAACCTAAATTTACAAGCCTACATTTAAATTCAAGGTCCCAGAACAAACATGAGCTTTTAGTCAATTAGACCATCAGAAATATACCCTCTGCTTTTGTAAAATATAGGTCCTATATTAGAGGGACATCTGGGGTGTACCGTAGATTATAAATATTAAAAAGTCTTAAAGAAAGTAAGCAATAGGTGATGTTACAAATGTAATTATGCCCCTTTTTTATTGTGGCAAAATATGGACCTTTGAGCAACATGGGTTCGGATGGCACAGGTCCAAATGTATACACAGATATTTTTCAATAAACACATTCAGCACTATAAATGTATTTTCTCTTATGATTTTCTCAATAACATTTTCTTTTCTCTAGCTCACTCTATTTATTGTTTGAATACTGTATATAGGGGACTAGGGGGCTTGTAAAAAGGTGATGGGACTAAGAAGTATAAATTGGGCCCTGGCTGGTGTGGCTCAATGGATTGAGCACTGGCCTGTGAACCAAAAGGTCGTCAGTTTGATTCCCAGTCAGGGCACATGCCTGGGCTGCTGGCCAGGCCCCTAGTAGGGGGTGTGCAAGAGGCAACCACACATTGATGTACCTCTCCCTCTCTTTCCCTTCCCCTCTTTCTAAAAATAAATAAATAAAATATTTAACCATTTTTTTTCAAGGGCAAATTGGTAGTTACAAAATAGTCAGGAAGATATGAAGTACAGCATAAGGAATATAGTCAGTAGTATTGTACTATGTACAGTAGGAATACAGTCAGTAGTATTGTACTATGTACAGTGCCAGGTGTGTACGTGACCCATCAGAGGACCAATTAGTAACATGCAGAATTGTCTGACCACTGTGCTGTATACCTGAACTAATACAAAATAATACTGAATATGAACTCTAAGTGAAAAATAAAACTTTTTAAAAGAATACATTATATAATACATATAACATACACATATGTATTAATTGTTTGTGTTCCTGGTGAGGCTTCAGTCAACAGTAGGCTATTACTAATTAAGTTTTGGGGAAGTCAAAAGTTATACATTAATTATTTTGACTGCAGAAGATTTGGAGCCTCTAATGTTGTCTAAGGGTCAACTGTTTAACAGAATTTGCCATTTTCACCATCTTATTTTCAGCATTTTCAGTGTAAATGTCGGTGGCATTAACTACACTCACAATATTTGCTACCATCACCAGTATTTCCAGAAGTCTTATCACCCCAAACTGAGGTCCTATATCCATGAAGTAGTAATTCCTCATTCCTTCCCACCCCCAGTCCCTCACATAACCTCCAATCTACTATATGTCTCTGTAAATTTGCCTATTCTAGATAGTCCATATAAGTGCAATTATACAATACTTCTCTTTTGTGCCTGGTTTATTTTATTCAGCATAATGTTTTCAAGGCTCATCAATATTATAACCCATATGAGAACCTCATTCTTTTTATGCTTATATAATATTCTATTGTATGTATATACCATATCTTGTTTATCCATTCTTCTCTTGGGGGACATTAAGGTTGTTTCCACCTTTTGACTGTTGTAAATACTGCTGCTGTGAACACTGGTATACCGTTTGAGTATCTGTTCAAATCCTTGTATTCAATTACTTCAAATTATTTTTAATTGCTGGGTCACTTGATAATTCTGTTTAACTTTTTCAGGAGCCACTGAACTTTTCCATAGCAACTGTAACATGTTACATTGTCACCAGCAATGTACCAAAGTTTCAGTTTCTTCACTTATTATTTTTATATTATATTTTATTTTTACTTTACTATTATTCTTCACTTATTTTTTTTTTAGCTTATAGCCATCTGAGAGGGTGTAGGGTAGTATAAATGTGAGTCTCAACCTCTGATATTTAAGGATATAAGAATATAAATTTCTAAATACCAATACTATCAGTTGATTTGAGTTTTTTGTCACAGAATCTTCTATAAATAAATATTTGAACAGTGTTCCATCTTTAGGTAGATAGTACCTAAGTTATTTAACTGATATGAACAAAATTTAACATGGAGATGACAAGACACTCATATTGTCACATTCATGTTAAAGTATAAAGACATTTATACTTTAACATTTAAGTATAAGAAAATCTTAAATGTTTTATTTAATACCTACAGATTAAGCTGTCTTAGAAATATGGGACTAAGACCATTATAAGTGTTTAAGAACCTGCCTGGGTAATGTCATGGTGTATTTAATTTTAGAATAGCAGTGACAATATTAATTTGACTTCCCTAGTTTTCAAGTTTTGCTTCGAGTTTTTGTAATACATTACAGTGCCTGAGTTATGTAAGGCCATGTGGTATCATTGGCCTATTTACCTTTAGTTGGTCAGTTCTATCAATCAGTCAACAGACAGCAGTAAATAGATAGTTCAATTGATGCAGAACGGAGATAGGCCATAATGTACACTCAGTCCCTAAACACTCCAGCTAGCTTTGCACAAACCATTCCAAACCACAGGCATGTATCCTATTTGGAAATCCCCCAAACGGATGTTATTAATTACAAGGGGTTATAGAAAGGAAGAGAAATTAACCTTCATTACTAAGTTTTCATAGTAGTTTGATGCCCTAGAAATCCTGCTAATTGACTTGGTATCACTAAGTCAGCTGGGAGCTGGGGCTGTCTGACTTTAAATATGAGGGACAAAGAGCTGCGAGTAGTTGAAAACTTTCATTGTTGGCCCTATTTCAAGCTTTTGGAGTCTGAACAGTTTCCTAAAGAAGGAGGAGTAGGATTAATGGCCGGGCTGTAGCTCTGAGAGTCACTGCAGCAGGAAGGGCCGGTGCTTCTTCCCTCCCCACACTCCCCGAGGCCCCAACAAGCCTGCTGAAGTTTATGATGTCAGGATTATGAAAAAAAGTTACTAGGTAGAAAAACAATTTTTTTGAAACAAGATCATGCTTTGGAAACCTGTTATGGGAAAAATTCCCAGAAATTTGGTTCTTTACACCAACAAGGTAAAGAATTACAGGTCAGCAAGCCTATTACCATGCAAGCAAATTTTATTAGTGCTAAGTTCTAATGGGAAAGCAAAAGCAAGGGTGGCTAGAGCAGAGTGGCTGGAGGCCAAGTGGCCAAAAAGGGTGGCCAGGGGCCTGGTGGCCAGAGGCTAGCTGGCTAGGGGCTCCTCGTGGGGCAAAAGAACCAAGAGGCCAAGAGAGTGATTCCTTTGAACTTACAGAGTTGGTGAGGTGGGGGTGAAGAAGTTGCATTTTGAGTGACAGATAAAAGTGGTGACAACTTCCCCGGAGGGAGCCACGACTCCTTTGTAGGTATGTGCGTGAGTCTGTTAGTCTGAATCCTTGTCTTGCTCCAGACTCTACTTGTTCATTTCGCATACAGGACAGAAGGCAGGCAGTTAACCAAAATTGTTGGTGGGCCCTTTCTTTGGGCACTGTAAACCCCTTCTTTTTACCCTTTTCAGGCCTTGGGATGAATACACAGTCTTGAGGTTTTCCTTTTCCCAGCTAGTGGAGATGATACACACAGACTTTCAAGGGCTTTCCCTGCCCTTGAAAAGGGCACTATCACAGTTTTGCTTATGTTGTTCACAATTCCTGGCAGCCTTATTGGACCAGGCTCAGGATTCCTGAGTCAGCATGTGAGCTTTTGCTTTTAGCCTCATGTATTAAGTTCCTTGTTAGATTGCAAAGGTGAGAGCTCTGCCTTTATTTCCCCTCTGGCTATTCATTCCACCATAACATTTAAAAAGAGGGGTCTACATAAAGTAAAAACAAAAAAAAACTGGCGTGTAGGAGACTGTTTTGTGTGGCATGGGCCCAGCTCCCACTGGGAGATGCACAGGACCCACGCCCATGGATAGGTTCTCCCGTGGGAAATCAGGCCTGCAATGTGCCTAGGCCACTTTGAGTCTTGTTTTTGCTAAAAATTCCCTCACCCTGATTTGCAGCAAACATTTACTGCAAAGTAACTTCCTTAAATCCATGCTACACCTTTCAAGGATGAGTGTAACTGGATCAACTACGTTTCCCTTTTCATTTGAAAATATCCCTCTTTTGTGATGTGATTAGCGACATTGGCTCTTTTGTTTTCTGTAAAAGGCAATCACCTAAAGCAGCCTGTGCATAGTAAATGACCATCATGTAATGTGCCGAGAAACCCAATAAAGGCCAGTCACAGCAAGGGCCGAGGCTTTTTCTCCCCTTGATAGAAAAGCCATGCCCACCCCTTTCCTCCACAGGACTGGGTAGTCCCTGTGAATGCCTCTCCCCCATCCACAATGTTGCAGACCCCATGAGCTGGGGCCCACACCAGAGTTGTAATCAGGAGATTTTGGTGGTGGTCTGGCTTAGCCTCTAGCTTGGTGTTGTATTGGGAGCAGGCTACCCACATTTTCTGGGCCTCAGATTCCTCATCTATTATATGGGGACATCTCTAAATGAGACTGTGGATATGGAATTACTTCTAAAATATAAAGCACTATATTAAAATAATGTTATTTAGAGTTTTTATAAAAGGTAACTTTAAATTTTGAGAAAATCGAGTGCAAAGTTAAAAAAAACTCTCCCCAAATGTGTTTCTTAATCATTTTTAATTTTTAAATTACAGTTGACATACAATATCACATTAGTGTCAGGTGTACACCCCAATGATTAGACATTACAAAACTTACTAACTGATCTTCCTGATAAATTTCATACCCATCTGACATAACAACCATACATAGTTGTTAAAATGCTATTGACTGTATTCCCTGTGTTGTACTTGACATCCCCATAACTGTGTGGTAACCACCAATCAGCACTTCTTACTCCCATCATTTTTTTCACCTCTCTTTCCAACCTCCTCCCATCTTGCAACAGTCAAAATGCTCTCTAACTAAAAGTCTGTTTTTATTCTCGTTTGTTAGTTTTGTTTTTATATTTGATTTTTGATAGATATTTATTTATTGCCATTTTATTGTTCACATTTTATCTTTTTTTCTTAACATTTCGTGAAATACTGGTTTGATGGTGAACTCCTTTTGCTTTCTCTTGTCTATGAAGCTCTTTATC